CATTTGGGCCGGATTCAATCATGCAAGACGACCCGACAAAAAGACAATAGCCGCGAAATGGGTCCAACCCGGGGACAGGATCCACGGATCAAGCGGGTAGGGTTAATTTAAGTGACGGGATTAATATATTAAATTGGGATTTTCCTAAGAATGATGATGGGTTTGATTCTATTTTGACTCAATTGATGATGATCGTTACTTTGACTAAAATGTAAAGCAATAGGGTTTAATAAGATGCCATTATTTTATTATTATTATTATTTAGGCAAATCTTCATTTCTCATTAAGTGATTATTACATTAATTATCAAATTTTAAATTTTATCACACTTTAATCTTTGATATTTTTGTTTTTAACACATTTTGATTTTTTAGATAATAATTTCCTCAAAATATAAATATAGATTTTAATGGCAAATATATACGTACATACTTCCAAATAGACTATGCACGTGCGAACTGACCAAGTGACAAGTTCTAAAACATAAAAACTAGAAATCCTTCCATTAAATTTAATTCTGTTATGTTTTAAGAGTAAACTCTCAATAAAACACTTGTCTCAGCTTCAACCGGGGGAGGAGGCTTGCCTGCCGAGCCACAGCGTCAGAAACCAGTTAAGACCGACCAAACACGCGGAGACTGAGATTTTTTATTAGGGGACCCGAACACAAAACAACTTCCAAAAAATAAGACTACACCAACCCATATTTACTTCTACAGAATCCGAGCGCTTCTAAAACCCTCGTACAAGAAGATAAAATGCAAAGTCATACCAAAAACTCAGTATCCATATACTCCAGATGTTACCGAATAGTAACACCCTGGAAACTGTGGACTCAGACAAATGAGAGTCTGCTTGCATCACTGAATCATTCACTTTTCCATCTGCTGCGAAGCAACAAAATTGCGAATCACTTCTATGGCTAATTGATGAGCACTCTTGCTCTGCAACTTAGCAAGTTCATCCACGGCTTCATATGTTTCCTTATCAGCAAAAAGCTTTAGGTTGTGTCGAGATGCTGATTGAATCGGGCCTTCCCATTTGTCAACCAGCTCTTGTAGTTTCTCAAATCCCTGAAATAGAGCACACAAATCACCATCAATCATCATTTACCATCTCTTCCCTTCAAGCTTCAAACATAGGAGTAAAATTTTTCATAAGATGTCCAACATCTCTCCAATTATTACTAGAAAGATTATAAATGGTGAGACACTAGTTTCTTAATCTCACCATTCGAGTTGTGAATTCGCCAAATGATTCCTTGGATTGTCTTTTGCGTTTCCAATGATAGAATAAAGGTTCCAGTATCTTTTCAAGATCTTGAACCTTAACCTTATTCATAAAAGTCCTCGCCAAAGAGGTTTGGTTCGGCGTTCCTCCAAGCCAAATCTGTATTTAATAGAATGAAAATGGAATAAGCACGTGATGGTTACAATAGGAAATAAAAAAAGGACCAAAGCATGTGTAGAATACCTGATAACTGTTAGGACCATCACCGACCAACCCAAGTTCAGCCATGTATGGTCTAGCACAGCCATTTGGGCAGCCAGTTATCCTTACTACCACAGACTCATTGTACTTAAGACCAACCTAAAATAACAAAATTCTTATCCGTTAACAAAAACGCTAGTCATTATCAACACAAAATCACTCTCCTATATGTATGAACAACTTGATAATTATTACTTTATACTTATCTGTTCAGGAAAATACCTTCTCAAATACAGCTCGAACTCGCTTTAGAATATCAGGGATTCCCCTTTCAGCTTCAGTTATTGCCAGAGGGCACAGTGGAAAAGCCGGGCAGGCCATTGCAGTTATGTTGAGGGGGTCTACATATCTTGGTTGCTGTCCACAAGCAAAAAGGATTGAGCTATCGAAACAATAGAAGTTCATGGTCCCATCAAAAGATCAACAAGTAACAAGAAATATCTGGAGGAAACCTTAAAAGTATATAATGTTGGAATAACAACTTGAAAAGCATCTGATGTAGGGGAAGATGAAGATGCTAAATATTCACATAAACAATGTGAATATTTCAGTATATTCTTTTACAGAAACTACAAGGTCCATTTTCTAGATATTTAACAATATAAATTTAAACATGGTTGGGTAACCGAATAAGCAGGATGATGCTGAATACATGCACGAGAAGAAGTCGTTGAAAAACTCATTCCCGTTTAAATATTTAATAAGCCTATAACCTAGGTTAAGATGTAAAAATATAACAGTACCTTGGTATACTGCATCCCGCCATTCTCATTTAGGATGGAAACTACCAGTTTCCTTAGCAGGCAAATATCAGGAGGAAAGAGAAAGAAAACAAAAGCAGCCAGAAGTATTTGAATGCTAAATATTTTCACAATGAAACCTGAGAAGAAAGCTCAATTCTCAGTGCATAGGACATGAACCTACTCTCCTATTCTTTATTACCATTTAAGAGTGGATAATAGCAAATTATGGAAATATATGACAAGTCTTCCTTCAGCTCCAGGTAACAAATATATACAGCATTAATTCCAAAAAAAAAATTCAAAAAATTCTCTCAAGATCTTTTTCTTCAACATCTCAAAATAAAAAGTCTCATTTTTTCAAACTCATTTCCTTTTCTTGGCCTTTTCCCTTTTTAATACCAGGCTAAATGTATAATCTGTGACATCTTTTAATATCATAATTCTTTCTATCATGTGGCTCTAACACCTTGGGCTTTGGAAAAAAACATCTAGCACAGGTTCATTGCATCTCCCTGCTGCTAATTATAATTAATCCGAATTTTGCTCGATAAACAAGCCAAATTGTAAGTCCTTTTGATTCAATCGCAACAAACAACTTCAATAGACTACAAACTAAGTTGCAAGAAGATCATAAAGAAGCCACAAAGCCCCTGTCAATAATATCTTACCAGCAGACCACCCTGTGCAAGAACTGTTGTAATGGGACGCTTCCAAGCACTGCGAATATCACACAGGATTATGTTCTGGTTCGGGGTGATGCGAACATTTAGGTTATACTTCTCTATTACTTCTCTTAAAGTCTTCTTCATTTTCCCTCCAAGACGACCACTATCTACATGGAGCCCACAGAACAAACCACCATCACCCTGCCAATTATTTAAAACATTGTCATAAAACAGAACAAATACTGATAAGAATGGACTAAGCCGAGAGGCAGAAAATGAATACAAGAAAAATGAGGAAATAATTAGGCATCGCATAGTACCATGAGATACACGGAACACATTAGAAATGAATATCTTTATAATGACTCCATAACCAACCTGTTCATGCCATCCTAAATAACTTTTGAACTGCCACTCAGGCAACTCCCGAAAAGGCTCAAATTTCTTCCCATAATATTGCTCTACGACACTTCTAAATTTTTCAATACCCCAGGAGCTGAGCAAATATTTCATTCTACTAAACTTACGATCATCTCTTCTCCCATTTTCACGTTGTGTAACAACAATAGCTTTTACGGCGTATAGAATATCTTCTTTTGGCACATAACCCAATGGATCTGCTATACGGGGAAATGTGGTCTCCATCCTATGTGTTCTTCCCATACCACCACCAACCTGAAACAAAATTCAAATGAAAAACATAATCAGCAACCTGAAACAGATCTTAGGAAAAACATTTAAACAGAACATGTTACTGTTAGATCATAAATCTCACATAAATGTTGAACCCTTGAGG